GGAATGTTCTCTGAGCCCTGGGGCCAGGGTATTGCTGGGAATGTCCCACATGGAAGGCTGGAAATGATAAGGACTGCGTGATGTGACTCCCGCGGTAAGAAGAAACATCTTCCGATGTGGTTCTCCGACAGTTCGTTTACCAGGATGTGGCTGCAAATAAGGAGGGACCGGAAGAGACCACTGTCACCGAGCCTGTGCCCTATGTCACCTTAGGAAAGAAATGCCAGAACTAACTCGAGACCCATTTACTCGCTGTTGGCACATAGTCTCAGCAAGACTATGTTTGTTTCTCGTGCTATAGCTAATTAAGAGCAACTAATCAGATGCGGGCCTAAGCTGATGGCTGGCATCGAGGCTCGCACAGAAGGGAGAGTGACGGCTCCCAGCCTGGTGGTGAAAAATATCAAGCGATAGATGCAGACACTTAGAAACCCCAGTGATGGGGGGTGGGGCACTATACAGGCTACACTTGCCCCTGTGTGACATCAGCTGAGGAAGAACTTGATGGATCAAGAAACCATTCCTCTGATCTGTACGTGCCGCTTCTCCTGGTAAGGCCAGGCAGCTGAGCTTGTTAGCGGAGTCGTCAGCCACCTGAGCAACCCCAGGCAGACGTGCAGACAGGTTGACGTGGTGCCCCCCAGGCCCTGGCTCTCCGGGGGGGCCTCTGCCCTTTACTTTGACAAGGCTGCCGCTGGTGAGATCCACTTTGGGGACAGCCTCGGCAAAGCCGTACCTTGCCAGTGGGTCTGGAAGCGGGGAGGCGCCCGGAACCCCGCACGGTCTCCGTCGTAACGTTCTTTGCTGGTGTATATTTAGGGTGAACAAGGGGTTCCCGGTGTGTCAGGAGATACCGGATTCCAAGGAGACAAGGTAATTGCGGCACATTTGCCCCCTGCCCCCTGCCCTGCTCTTCTCTGGTCCTGGCTTTCTTCTCGGGGTCCCTGATGGGCCAGGATCCCCCTGCAACATGGCTTCCTTTCACATAATCGTGGCTTCTCCAGCCTCAGTACCCCCATCACCATCTCTTCCCTGGACTTTACAACAGCCTCCTGACTTTTTTCCAGGCCCCCAGCTTCCTCCCTCCCAGTCTGTCTTCCTCACTGCCACAAAGCTCTGCTCGTTGCTCACAAACCACCCATGGCTCCCTACTGCTCCCCGAGTGATGTCCTGACTCCCCAGCACCCGGGACCCTAGTGAGCAAGTTTCTCAGACCCATTCCTGCCCGTTGCTCTTAACATCCCTGTGCTCCACGGAAGTGCCCTCTGCAACCCCCCCCCAACGGTTTTGCACACACGGCTGCCTTGCCTGGCACCCCTCCACTCAGCCTCTGCATGGCCCAACCTACCCATCATTTAGAACCTCGCTCAGATACCATTTATTCCACCTGCTCGGATGGTGGCCATTTCCCTCTCTGCATGCCCCGAGCAGCCTGTTACCTGTGCAGCACTTGGTAGATGGGGACTTGTGCTCACCCCCCTGCCAGACAGCAGGCTCCCTCAGGACACTGCCCCAGACCGCCCTGGTGTAGCTGAGCTCAGAGTCCTGCACAGAACATTTAGGACACGTTTGAGTAAGTGAGTAACTGGCCTTACTGACTGATGGATGAACTGGGGCAGCCTGCCGAGGCCGGCTCCTCTTTGCCTGTGTCCGGCACCATGTGGCCACATCTGGCCCTCACCCAGCCAGTCAACGAGGCCCAGATGTTGGCCAGCTCTCCCTCTTCCTCTTCCCTCCCTCCTGGCCGGCCTGTCCTGACCCAGCCTCGGTGTCTCCGGATTTCGAGCCATCCGGGCCTCGCCGCTTCCCCTGCCGGGCCCCCGTCTACAGAGTTCCTCACGCATAAGGGCACTGACAGTGCTTTTGCTTGGAGCCCTGGGGTCCCGGGTGCCAGGACAGTTTGGTGAGGAATAGGGGCTACTGTTTCTGCTTTGTGTCCCCGAGGCCCAGCCCCCAGGGGTGCCCAGCTGGAGCTTACAAGCAGGGAAAGCGAGGGGGGAGCTCGTCTCCCCCAAAGGTTGGTGTTCTCTGGGCCTCAGCTGGGCAAGGATGACTGAGCAGCTGTTCACCTGGCCGTTTCTGTTCCTTACTAACCCCAGCTTGCTCTTGGCCTTTTCCAGGGGAGCCAGGGGTTGCCAGGGTTCCCAGGCGCACGGGGGAAGCCAGGGCCTCTGGTAAGTACCTTTTGTTCTGACACCCCCAAACCTCACCCTCTCCAAACAATCATGCAACATGGCCAGGGGCGGTCACATCCTGGACCTCGTTTCCTCCTGCAGCAGCTCTGGGAGGCAAGCAGAGAAAGACAGCAATGAGATTCACCCATTTTACAGATGAGGACGCTGAAGCCCAGAGAGGCAGGAACTCACCCAGCGTCGTACATAGGCCGCAGTCAATGTCGAGTTCTGGGGAGAATCAGAATCTGGGGCTCCCAAGCCTTGAAAACAATAGTAGCATGAATATCAGCAGTGGGTGTCATGTGTTTGTTGAATGTTACTATGTATCAGACCCTTCCCATACAATAGTTCTTTAAAGAGTGCCAGCCATCACCCCAAAGGCTACAGAATTATTATCCCTCCCATCTTACAGATGGGGAAACTGAGGTTCTGCAAGATGAAGTGTCTTGCCCAGGGTCCCATGTCTGTAAGTGTAGGAGGCGGGGCTTCAACACTAGCTCCTATCAGTCTAGGCAGATTTCATTCATATGCTCCTGAGCTTTTCCAACTACCCACAGCCTGGGGGGTAACACAAGGGATCGTGGCAAGTGGGCCCTCACTTACCCCTGCGTCCCCCGCCATCTCTTCTCTTCCACAGGGCAAAGTTGGAGACAAGGGATCCCTTGGGTTTCCTGGGCCTCCTGGCCCCGAGGTATGTGATGCCATATTGCTGTGTCTGACTACAACTGGGACTGAGTGTTGTCCTTGGGAAACTGAGATACGGAAATCAGGGGGTGGGTGGAGCTAACCTGAGAACACACAGCAAACGGGAGATGGGGGCTGAGAATAGAAGTTCTGAGATCAGAGATCTTTCCTTTTCTGACTCTGTGCCCTGGCAGCTCTCACTGTCAGTGGGACGGAAGCTGGCCTCAGAGACTCTGCCTAGCTCCGTGGCCACCTTTAGAGTTTCCAGAAAAAACATCAGGAAAGCCCTCTGAACTCGGTCCTGCACCCTTAACAGGAGCTCCTGCATTCTCGAGCCTGAGCCCTGGAACCCTTCCAACCACCCACACTCCCCCTGGAAAAGGTTCAAGGCTCAGCACTTCCAGGAATGGGGAGCAAGAAGCAATGATAAAATTCTGGGGTTTGAGTGGAGAATGAGAAATCATGAAGGATGATCTAGCAATTAATATAACTTGCCTTAGGTAGGTAGAGCCCCGAGAGGTTCTGGCACGTGTGAAAATCCACACCAGTCCGCTAACCGTCTATCAGCTAGCGCCCACATGTCACGTATGGCAGGCTGAGGCATATAATGGCTGAGCTTTTCCACTGGCCCCTCCGACTGGGACCATCTCTGGAGAATGGGGTGCTCTGTGCCAGGGCTGCTGTCTGTCCGGGGTCCTCAGCACCCAGGTCCTCCAGGGAGTTTAGGGGGCAACCCCAGCAAGCCCCCCCCGCCATGTATACACACACACACACACACACACACACACACACACACACACTCCCTGGCCTCCGACCTTGCTCGTTCACAAGATCTCAGAGGCAAAACTCTCTGTCTGCCGAGCTCCCCAGACCCTTCCAAAGATCACTCCTGGTATCGCCCAGATAGATGAGGGATGGTTTCCTGAAAGTTCTGACTTCCCACTGTGTTGACTTTGGCTGTGACACAGTTCCAGCTCTAGACGAATGGAGTTGGCCTGTCCTCCGTGGCCTCGATTCCTTCCCCTGGCCACTGAGGAAGAAGACTGTGCTAGCGGTCTGGCTTTGCCAGCAGGCTGGCCGCTGGGGGCGGGGTGCATGTCGCCTCATGTTCTTTGGGCACCTCCTCATGCCAGCAGGCTGCATAGTGTCTTTGGGATAAGAGCACGCTGAATTGCCACCACAACCATGTGAGGGAGTTATTACTGCCACCATGTCCCAGATAAGGAAACTGAGTCACTGGGTAGTGGAATGACTTCCTCAGGGCCACTGCTACTTGTAGCCAATAAGGTCTGCTTTGGTTCTCTCCTGGGTCCCCGCACAGATCTGGGGTCCGCCTCTCCCATCTTTGTGTCCTGTTTGGATTGGCTAACTCGGTGTCCAGAATATGGCTCTGCACAGCTGGAGACAGAAGCTGATGAGCATGTCAGCGCCTTCCTGGGTCTCTGCTCCTTCTGAGACCATGGGCAGGACGGCGGGGGGG